AATTCCAGATGCGATATTTGCTCAATAAACTGTTTTTGTTTTCTCAATCAATCCGATATCAATGCACTATTTTCTTTCGAAACAAACACGATACCGCTGGGAATGTCCCAGTAAAAAAGGGCGCGCGAAAAAAATGTCAGTTATGCGACGCGAAATAACAACACTTAATCCAAATCAACTTTGGCCCAAGTTATTTTCGTTACGTTTTCTATTTGCTTTATGCAAATGATGCAGTTTCTGTTTTTTCTTCGCTCTCGGTTTTAAAATTCCGTTAACGTTTTGAGGCGCGATGGGGACTTTTCAAGTGACTGCAAATGTTAGCAGCCGCAGACACGACTTGTCTGGTAAAAGTTCGAAGCTTAACTGAAGATCATTAAACGTTTGGTAACAATTTAAGCCAAGCTCGCGACGAAGATGCCAAAAAGCCATCGCAGTGGCAACGAAGACGCCAGCAACATGCGCACATCGGCAACATGTTGCCGAAGTCGAAGAGTTGGCCATTTGGTCGAAGAGAAAGCAAAGAGCATGGTTTTGTGGCCGAAAGAGAAAGTGTTGCCGGGCTTGGGTTGGCAACATGAGGAAATGGCTTGTATCTGCTTATCAGTTTAGCGTGAATCACAGACTTATCGAATCCAGAAATGGCATACCCGAAACTTAAATCTCTGAAAGCCATTTCTACCTCAACCACGTAGCAGACTCGGAAGTGGCGATAAGAACGCGGATCGGGGGCGTCCGAGAATTTGATCTGCAGCCAAATTATTTTATTGCATTGCACCGTTTAAGCCAAATACGTGTGGGTCTCATCTGTAACCATGTAACTACAGTAGCTAGCCATGTTCAAGCTCATTACCGCATTTATTACCGATTTTTATGGACAAACAACGCGTCTGTAGACTGATTCATATGTTTATGATTCGGGCATGATTAATGCTGAGCTGGAAGCCCGGTTGAGTAATGTGTTTGGCGATCCCCGCTGAGATCGCATAAGGCGATCTACTGAACAGCACCTTACCCCTTACATCATAGCCACTTGGCTGTGAGTCTACATATTTTGCTTGATTTGATAACTTAATAGAAGGCACCATATGAGTTGCTTGCAGGGATCATCGGATTAGTGGAATTCATTTATCATTGGATTGAAAAAAAACAACAAAATTCCCGCGACCTATAGAAAGAAAGAAAGGTCATCTTTAAAAGTCCAATTTACTTTGCCGTTATAGCAGAGGACACTTTTTATTTAATAACATCCGCTAAGTCAACTAACTTAACTTATATTTCATTACCTTTTGAAGTGGAAGAAGTGCCCAAGATTTCGAAAACATTATCTTAAGTTATTATAAGCAATTGCTACCAACAATGATTTTTCCAAATATTACCTCTCTTTAGTTTCCAAAATTTTCTATTGCTAAGCTCACTGATAAGGTTAGTTTAATTGTACAACAATTCCATAGAAAAATGCATTTTATATCAGAGAACCAGCTAGACAGATCAACAAATTATTGCATTTCCAGCTTTCCATCCAATTATTTTCAGATCCCAAGCAATTCGGTGGCGACTTATCGTCTAATCCATCAATCAACTCACCAAACAGACATTTCCTCGCCGTGTTTCATAAATAACTTTTCACTTTCCGGACGCCCAGGAAAACAAAGTGCAATCCAAGGCCAATTATCTGGGGCCCAAATGCAATTCTATAATAAAAGACCGACCACAGGTACCTTTAAGTGGCGATTGCATAAGGAGCAAGCGCCAGAGAGCTTATCAGACTTGGCTTCTTTGTTCCATTCACAGACAATGATAATGACCCGTGATGATACTAAAGATCGGACCCCTCGGTTGTCCAAGTCATCTCTCCTCGGGTCTTTTGTAGTGCGTGCTTAAATTTTATTTGATGACTTTCTTTGTTGACCGATCGGGCTGTGAGAAAAACATCTGCGCAATCCCCAAAAATCGGTGGAAAATATTTTCACCTGTTGCTTGATTGAATTGTTTGCACAATCCGTAGAAAATATTGGCAGGAAGTCAACCCCTTGTCAAATCCATTTCTAATTACATGAATTTAATTTCTTTATACTTTAATTTTTGGCTATTTCTGTCTTTCTCTGTGTGTATTCCGCAGCGTGCTCGTGTTTCTCTAATTACTTCCCACACACGGCGAAAACTGTGAGTTATAATTGCCAATTTCGCTTTTTTATTAATGGTTTGCCATTAAATTTTGACTACCAGAAACATAGACAAGGTAATGCAAGTGTAAAAATAATAAAATATCCAGTGGCAGTTGGGATCTTGTCTTCGATCAATTACAAGCTATAAAAGGTGGTGCAACAAATAAGTTGATACTCATAAACTGTAATTGAGTAATTTCTTACGAATTCAGTTATAATATTTTTGTATTTTTAAAAACATTGTCCCAAGTGTGTGTTTAATTACTATAGCCTTGCCTTCATTGTATCCTAAACCACTAAGATGACCTCTGACAGAGACATTTATGGTTTTTGCCAATTAGTTTTATGCCACAAAATAAACATATATTGGGCAGCCGCTCCTCTTATCCAAAAAAAAAGATTTTTATGAATCCCATTTACATTAAGAAAAACAGGTAAATTAAGTGAAGACATGTTTGAAAACTATATTTACAGAACAGTTCTGAGGCATTACAAAACTTAAAATACAACAGAAATAAATTGCACTTTAAAAGTCTAGTTAAAAATCTTGATGAATGGGTAGCCAATGGACAGTTCATATATCTGCCCGAGATTAACAAAAAACAAAAGCCATTGCCATACAGACGGACAACAAAAACTGAAACACCGAAAAAAGACTAAATGCTTTACAAATACCCAACAACAAAACGCTCGGGGGGAAAGACTTTCACCTTGCGACGAATGATCGAAAGAAAGAAGGAAAGAAATGTATGGGGCGAAAATAAAAAAAACTAAGAAAAAGGCAGGCAAGTTAAGGCAGAAGCGGCCTTCCAGACAGATGCCATGGACCCGAAACCGAAAAACCAAAAAACCGAACCCGACCTGCAATGGCCTCACCTGGCAACAACAAGTGGGCAACCCGATGATCATGATCATGATCATCAGCAGGCGCTGAAGAAGCCACCATCGTACGTCAATAAACCTTTGACTCAATGACGCTTACAGCCCGAGCTTATCACTCGATCCCAGACCCTCGTAGGGAATTGTGGTCGGTGTGAACGATCAGCGGAATGAACGATCGTGAGCCGGCAACTTTTACTTTTCATTCAAGAATGGGGCGGGCATGGCATTGGGGATTAAGTCATATGGCTGATCCGTTGCGAGTACTTAGAATTCTACTTTCCCCGAAATCTGCCGACTCGTTAACCCCCACGCAGACACTTGGGAATCAAAAGTGAAAACAAAGCGTTGGGCATTTGAAGATGACATGTTTGGGACAGGCTGAAGATCTTCAGTACGGCCAGTAAAGTCGAATGTCGGAATCTTCAAGTCATTTAGGATAATCGTCGACTATTTATTAAGCAACTATTGACACCATCTACTAATGGCTTAAACAGATACAGTTATTAGTAGAGGGCCCTATTTAAGTTCAGGCACAATCAATCTACAAAATATACAAATATTAACAACACAAAAAAAAATGGCAACTTTGTTGTCTTTTCATTATAGACGCTGTCGGAAATTGCATAATACGTGCGAACGACCCAAGATTCGATAAATTAATAACAAAAACTAAATGATTGCGGAGCCCTCGCGGCAAACTCAAATGGTGTCACGTGGAATCATTATGCCCAACACCAAAATTGAGAAAGACGAAGAAGCCGGGCTGACAAAATTAGACCAAATATGAATGAATCTATATAAACACATCCGCTCGAGATAATAATAATAATTGAAGGTTTAAAAAGGTTATAAAGAAAATTTAAATGAGAAATAAATGAATAATTGCTCATTCGATAAGCCCCGCTTAAAATGAAAATATATTTTTTAAAGTGACTATAATTTTTTTATTGCAAAAAACTAAAAAAAACCCACTGCGCCTCAATCAAAAAATAAATAAATTTAAAATCTATAAGTCTATACTACATATTTTTGGCAACGTAAGATAATAACTATTAAAATAAATTTAAAAGCCGCGCCAACTGTTAAAAATTTATCAATGATATATGTATTACTTTGTTCCTGGTTAGCCCTTATAAGTAATAAGGGCAAGAAAAGATTAACTATGTTTTAATAGGTTTTAAAAGTTTTTTAAATATACATTTATAAAATTATAAAAACATAAAACAAGTTAAAATATTTAGCGCTCTCTAGTGCTCAAGTTAGCTCACAGAAAACAAAAAAATTTCGCTCCCTCGAATTTTGCCAGAAATTAAAATGCCTGAAAGTAGGCAAACTTTTATCAAGTCACTCTTAACTAATCACTTTAAATAAAACAAAACAATCTTTTTTGAGTACATAGTTTTTTTTTCATTTATTTATTTTTTTGCTGTAATTCTTGTAATTGTAATTGATTACATGTTGTTTTTCTTGATCTATACAATTAATATGCTTCTTTAATTTAAAATTGATATATCTGTACGTATATTTTTATAATTATAAGTTCATCATTGTTTTTTGTCAATTAATACTAAACGTTAAATTCGAACACACTTTGTAAAACAAGTTTTGCAATTGGATTTGTTTTTGTTTTTGTCAAAATTTATAATAAACACATAAAGAAAGTATCAGAGATAATTACGACGAGTGGCAGAGAAAACATTTATAAATAATACGAAACAAGCTCCAAAGGATCGTAGCTGTGTATATATAGACTTAGGTATTGTAGTCCTATATGATATATATCCAAAAGTCATGAGCAAAAATTGCAATTTGTGTACAGTGTTATCTAAACTTACAGGATTACAGGTTACAAACTTCGTTCAAATTACAGTCTGGATTCGGTAAGCATGCTTACCCAGCTCAAGTTCCTACTAAACTGTCTGCCGTCTTGTCTCTTATTTGTAGTACACAAACTTTAATTTGAATAAAACATTATTTATTTGTTTTGCTTTTGCCTCCACTAATACGGTTTACATAGATGTGGCGCACTACAATTATTGTATATTGGGTTGGTTTATTATTCGGTTGTGATATTGGCCATATTTTGTTTCTCTATCCGTCTAGATTTAATAGATTTATAGTTCATTAAATATATGTGTTTTCATTAAATTATGACATGTATTCCGTGTGGATAGGGTTGATCGGTGATAGTTCATTTATTTTCCATGCGGATTACAAACTTATCTTGCATTGGTAGACTAAAGAGTTGATTTGCTTCAGTGTGATGTATGATGTTGGCCATCGAACCTCCAAGATCTTAAACTACGAATACAATTACAGTTAAGATATAGATACATTTCGGTTTCGCATATGTAACTAATAACAGCCTTGATACTGTTGCAAAAGACATGGAAGCTGTATGAAATTGTTACAGATTTGAGTCGTAACCCTATAAATATGTATGTATCTTTGAGTTCGGGTGAGTGGGATGCGTTGGGTGAATCGTTACAAATGTTGTCTACAACTATGTTTAGTATATGCCATATCTAATAAACTATATCTAGGTTATCTTGTTCCTTTGAGCTGGCTTCTGTTTTGTTTTCTTTTTATCTGGTTTCTTTTTACTCTTGAAGGTTTGTTCATGTTGAATACAGTGTGAAAGGATAGCTTGCAACACCTTGGTAGTTGGAGGGAAGAGAATACTTTGCGGAAAAGGTTTGTGGGGGTGTAAATACGATTGCGAATACTTTGAGCTATGGCAGTAGCGAAATAAAATAGGGTTCAGGGAAACTGAGAATACTGCAAAGTGCTGCAAGAAAGGACTACCCCTAGCTGAGATGCAACTATTTCGAATGGGGGGCAGGGATTTCCAGGAGCAAGTGGGTTGACAACAGCAATGCGCTCGCATTCAAATACAATTCACACACACGTCTATAATTCCTATATAGCTTACATATAACAATAACTACAGCTAGGTGCGAGGAGGCCTACTCCTTCTCCTTCTCCACCTCCTCCCGTTCCTTAACATCAGCGCAGTGCTGTGGACGCCACTTCTAGCTCCAGAAGTCCATCATGTTGACCAGCTTGCACTTCTTCAGCTCCAGCTTGGTGGGCCTGGCCCGGAGTCAAGCCCGTCCAAAGATGGCCCTGTCGGAGACATCCCCGGTGGACTGTGAGTGCGACATGGCCATGTTGCCAGCTCCTCCTCCCGACGACGACGACTGCTGCTGCTGCTGCTGTCCCCCTCCGCTCACTCCATGATGGTGGTGGTGGTGCGTGGCCGTGGCAATCGTGGCCGTCGACGCATTGTGGTGCGTCACATTGTGATGGTTGTGCGCCAGCGTCGAACTGCCGTACTTGGAGGTCATGGCGCCCACAATTCCGTTTCCGGTGCCAGTCAGATGCTTCCTGGTGGCCGCCGACGAGACGTGGTGGGTGCTGCCACTGCCCACGCCCCCGTATATGCGATGTAGCGAGTACTGCTGCACCGACTCCAGATCCGAGACGCTGGACGTGATCTTTGAGCGCACCGCCACCTTCTGCATGCTGTTGTACTTATCGCTGGCACTCAACTTGATATCGGGCAGGTGTCCGTTCGACTGGGCGTGGCCGTGGCCATGGCTCTGGACCGCCGGCTGTTGTCTCGACTTGGTGGTGGCCATCGCCGCATTGTGCACCGCCGTGGTGCTGGTGATCGAGGCCACCACGGGACCATTGCCAGTGCCTGGGGAGATCTCCGAAAAGCTGTAGCAGGAAGACTTCTGGGAAACACTGTTCAGGCCCGAGCTGGACGAGCTGCTCGACATGCGGCAGCTGCGATGGCGACTGGAGGCGGAGGGCTGCAGGAACTCGTGGTGGGCCGCCTCGTCCGGCGTCATCCGCTCCGCGGGATCCCACTCCAGACAGCGCTGCAGGAAGTCGATGAAGTAGCGGTCCTGGCAGTGCAGAATCTGTGCCAGCGACTTGCTGCCCGGCGTCCGTTTGCGGCCCTTCGTGTTCGTTATGCAGCGCGGGGCATCCCGGGAGTCGAAGAACAGACGCCGCCGCCTGGCCACCGAGATGAGCACCTTGGGCGGCAGGCCCAGCACCTCCATGATGCAGGCCAGCTGCTCGACCTCGTTCTCGCCGGGAAAGAGGGGGAATCCCGTGTAAAGCTCGGCCAGAATGCAGCCTATAAAAATCAGAGAGCAGAAAAGTTGACATGTAATTAGTATTGATTTTCGGTGCTTGATGGGGGGCCGCAATTGCTGCAGTCATTTTGGGGCGGTGGTCAGACAGGCGCATTGACCTTGACTTTGTAGCGAACACGTGTCCGTCCCCTTGAGCTCAAGAATATTTATTTTCTACCGCACTTTCTAATGGACTCCGAGTCTGAGTGGTGGTCTGAGTGGATGGTCAGTCAAGGAGAGATGTCACTGCAAGATGGCCTTTGATAGACATTTTGTGACTCAATAGTTTTCCCTTGAATTGAGGCTATTCATCTCAATTTGTAATAGCTTGTTGTCGCAGTAAATTGAATTGAATACCACAAAAGAAATATTCCTGGTTAGTGACTAAGCTACTTACATTTTTAAATTTCAGTTACCTTAGCCACGCTCAGTTCATTTATTCATAAGGTAACAAATAAGGTTATTGGAGCTCAAAATAGCTTTCCTCAATGCTGAATTTCTAACGCAATCTCATATGCAACTTATCAGAAACTGTGTACTGAAATTCTGCTCAAAGTGCATCTGGGAGTTTACCTCCTCCTGAAACCTAATTTACCTAATGAAGCTCAAAGCAATCAAAATCCACACGTATCTATTGCAGATGGTCCACTCTGTGGGGGAGCTGAGTTTGCTAAGTGCTCACATCATTCAACACGTAACCCATTTCCATCGCCTACTTACTCTACATGCTCAGTGCACAGTAACTCGAATAAGCAGGCCGGCCCACACATGAAGAAGCCCAAGACAGCGGATAAAAATAAACTGAGCTGGCTTTTATTAGGGCCCAGAAATAACAACCTGCCACCGACAACCTCACGTCCGTGCGCACATTTAATGAGTCCTTTGTTGTCGACGGAGCTCACGATATTTTGCTTGTGCTGCTGCTGCTGACCGGACGTGGTTGTGGTCGGAAATGGGCGCTAAAAGGATGTGCGCGATGAGGCCGGGAGTGGCTAAAGGTCCGGACTGAACTGAACTGGGCTGGGCAAAATTATTGTATACATAAACTTCAAGTGGGGCGGCACTTGTTGAGTGTGGCCCCTGACCCGCACCTCCGGCACCTCCATCGATATCTCATTGTTCGCTCGGATGGAGGAGGTCCTTTTCCGCTTTCGCTTTTGCCTGTTGCTACTAATTGGCCTAGTGCGTGTTCTTACACTTCGCTGAGCTTTTCGGTATGGGCTAGGTCATTTGAACGGGTAAAGTGGGAAGACTTTACTGAGGAGAAAATGTTTAAGATATCTTATAAGTTATTTCTTGTTCCATTTCAAATTGGAATTAAATTCATTAAAAAACCGTTAAAATGTGAGTTTACTTAGTTTCATTTAGAGATTGAAGAACAGTCTCCAGTTGAAATTGAAAAAATGTGTTAATTCTTTGCCAACCTAGAAAGGGTTTGAGCATTTAATTTAAGCAAATAAAGTAAACTCTTTTAACTACAGATTGTAATTAAGAAATTGTGTGTTGAGTTTAATTTTTCTACCTATTTCCCTTATTACACCTTATTTCCTACAAACACAGAAACTCGTCCACGTGCTGTATAACCCACAAATGTTTAATATTTAATCCTTCCCACCATTGCGGGGGATATTTATAGGGCCAACGTGTGTGGGCCATAAATTTGCCTGCCAAATGCAGGGCAAGCATTTAAAATTTCATTGCAAGCAACCGGCTGCACATGTTTGCCAGCCCACTTGGGAACACTGGGCGGAATGTTTTTAATTAAAAGTGGACACTCACCCAAGCTCCACATGTCGATGGCGGTGCCGTATTGCAGGCCGAGAATCACCTCCGGGGAGCGATAGAACCTCGATTGGATGTACGTATAGATTTTGCGATCCACGTAGCATGAGCTGCCAAAGTCGATGACTTTAATAGAGCTGCTACCACGCTGTTTGAGCAAGATGTTTTCCTACATCCATGTAAACAAGAATTAAATAAAGAGTTAATAAAGGAAAAGGACATTTAATGCAATGCACTTACCGGCTTGAGATCACAGTGAATGATGTTTTCCTTGTAGAGCAAACGCAGGCACTTCACAATCGAGTTGCAGAAGCGTCTTATGAGACTCATGCTGAATCCATTGTAGTTATTCTTCTTTATCAATTCGTACAGGTTCAAGCTGTAAGGACAAAAGGCAAAATGGTGTGTTAGTGCAACCCCTTGGCAAAAGCGATTTGAACATGAGTCAGCGACAAACTAAACCCCCATCGGAATCGTTGACAAAACAAGGGACACTCTCGCGAATGGAGAACAAAACAAGGAGTCAAGTCAAACGCCGGCCGCTTTAAGTCCTCGTTGTATTACGGGCAACATGCATTGAATTAATTCCCATTGCATGTCGGGCTCGAATTTGGGCATACAACGATAACGTTCTACGACAGCAACAACAATATTGACAATGTCAGTCATGAGCAGTCGGCAGACGACAACAGAAAGATACTAAAATGGTGGCAAATCAAGCCGAAAAGAGCGGCCAAACAATGTCAACAGTGGGACAAGAAACAGTCTTCGTTTTAAACATAATTATAAAAACCAACCACTTTTTTTTAAAAGCTCGAATAATTTTATGGTACTCCTTTTTAAGTAAACTTTTAGACACTAGACACTAAATTGGCACCTATGATTAGACATTATCTTAGACAACCAAATGAAATCGTGATTCAAATAAAATATATAAAACAATATGTGAAAAATCAACTAACATGTTGAAAGAATATTTTTGTCCATAAAATCAAAAGGCAATATCTACTTGTTTTCGTTTCATTATTCTCCTTAAAGTCCAACGCTACCTTATACATTCATAAAGTATAAGGGTTCTGCCAAAAAACAAAAGTATTTTTGGCTATAACAAATATTTTATAAATTTACTTTTTTTAGAAGTTTGCAATGTATGATAATTTCTATATTTTTTAAAATCTTTTTAAATTTGCTAGTTCAATCCTTTTAACAAAACAATACAATCACTGTGTGAACTCCCTCCCTCAATTCCAAAAATGTGCCCCGTTTGTCAACCCTTTCGCTGTTTTTTTTTACTTTGCGATTTCTGTGCCATGTTTCGCATTCGCAGTTTATGTCGATTAATTAACTGATAACAAAGGAGTTTTATTCCCTCAATGTCAATGCAACCACAAAAGAGACAACAACCTAAGATTACAGCTGGCGGTGGGTGTAATGTACTCGTTGATCAAAAGTTTGGTCAATTGTTGTTTGCCAGTGTTTGGGAACCGATGATTGATGACTTTTTATGGCAACGTCAGACGGTAAGATATTGGCCTTCGTGCTCTATCTGTCCATGAGATTTCCTCCCGTTCATCATCATATATATCTCAATTTATTGAACTCGCTTTCATTTCCGTTTTTCCCATAAGCAGTTATATACACATGGCCATCAATAACTTTATCGCCTGCTGATGAGAGCTTCCTCGACATGTTTGACCTATATAAAAGTGTGTGGAAGATGGCCAAAAGTAATAACTGCTTCTGGAATGAAAGAGCTAGGAACTTGTGTGTGGGAGTAGATGAATTTCTAAAGGTTGGGGAGTGTGAAAATGAATTTCTGAATACTTCCTAGGCAAATAAAACTGGTAAGCAATACGAGTTGAAGATTACACGTTTCGACCCTATTTGTAAGCCAAAAGCTTAAATAACTTTTTATTTGATTTCACACAGCTAGCTTAATAGCTTCTTGAGGCTTTTAGCCATGTTCTACAGCCTGTACATGCCGTAATCCAATTTAAATTTATGTCAGCCAACACACACTCTCTCCGAAAGGCGCTAAGAGCGTTTAAAAGCGCGCTAAGCTGATTGAGCTAACAGAGTGCCAAGGACGTTTTCTCGTGTTTTCCCCCCGCAAAAGCCACATAATGGCATGGATGACTGTCAAATCGTTGAGCAACACTCAGGCTAGAATCGCGGGAATGGAGGAGGCATCCACCCAGACCGCAAAGGTCACGCTGCTTTTAATTTGAAAACTTTCTCATTGCACTGACGCGTCTGTTGGAATACCAAAAATATCAGACCTTAAAGTGGCAGGCTTTAAAGAAAACCGACTGCTATTGATTTTAGGGCCAGCCAAAATAGATGACGAGCGGTTGTGGGAGGAAAGGCCTTTTTTGGCAAACAGACGAGTCTATAACAAACCAATAAGAAAATCATCAAAATGTCATAATTTCAATCGGCGAATCGGGACAGTGTACATGTGTATGCTTAGAAGTCTGCATATTATAACTGCATTATGACATGCCACACAGTCGGCGACGGAGAAGCCAATGCCAAAAGTCCATGAGTCTGCCATGAACTTGAAAATTGTTTTCAGCTGCCTGGGGCGTCTTTTTCCGGGCCGTTTTCCGTGCCGAAATTCCGCTGGTAATTTGATTGATTTGCCCCTGCGCCGTTGCAACTGCAACATGCAATTGTAACGAGCCACTAATGCCTTGCATTTAGCACACCAAAAATAGGACAATATAATGCCAAAATCGGGTGAAAGTGAATTCGGATAAACAAAGCTTGGAAAATCGGATGACGCCCTTAATAATCTAAAAATACGGAGATAAGATTGACTTTTTTTTTAAAGAAAGCAACGACAATAATTTTTTTATATATTTTGTTTAAAGAACATACCCACCTCTGTCAGTCATAGGAATTTTTGGTAATAAACTTGTCTACGTGGCGTGAATTGTGTCACCTTGTTTGTTCGTTGCTTTCGGGCAACTTTTAGCATAAATTTTAAATTGGTTTTTCTGCTGGCTGAAAGCGAAAAGGGAATGCCATTGATTGACAAGGGACTTTGCCGGTGATGAAAGCTTTCCTGTCTGCATTTACATACGGAATTTCAACGTGTAAGCCAACTTGGAGGCGGAATTAATTTTACTCTGCGGTTATCGATTACAATCCCACTTTTCATTTAATATTAACGAGGTCTTTCCAAAAAAAAAAATTTAAAATAAAGCTGTTCTTGCATTGTCATTTTTCCTAGTTAATTTCTTCCTAAATACCCATAAATATTCAAAGTTAAGCGGCTTAACCGAAAAGCTGCCTTTGAATTAATGATGCTGTCCATGGCTGGGACATTTGTGACCTTGGTTTTTGGCTTAGGACTGGCTAAATTTCTCTGCAAAATATCCTTTTTGGGACGTTGTCAAGCGGCATTCTAATTAGTTGACGACTGTATAAAACAGCCAGCTAAGTAGTCGAACCGTAAATAGTCCCAGGAATGCAGAAAAATATACTGCCACAGCGAGGAGTGGAAATAGAGGCGAATTTACCTTTTAGCAGATGATAAATGACTTGGCCTTGGCCATGTTAACTGGCTTCCATCTTCCACCGCGACGGGCTTACAGCAAAACAAACTTAATGCTCGGCAAAAATGTCAATTAGCAGTAATTACTGTGCCATGGCACGGCATAATAATAACCTACATCAACATCCGCGAAACAGCTGACACCGACACCGAAGACACCCTCCCCTCGTCCATTTCCGTCCCCTCGAGTGTTTATTCTCCTGGTAACTCAATTCGCGAACTCGTCCTGCCATCATCGTCCTTGCCGCTCGCCCCTAATTGCAATTTACACGAGCTGAGTGCAAAAATTAATTAAAAAGAATAAACTTGCAGGATCTGCTCATTTGCATGACCACGCCCACTGCTCACGCACACCGCATGTTGCATTTTAATTAAAAATCATTTCGTCCTGTTCTCCCCACATGACCAAAAGGCAGCGGAATGCCGGCGACATCCTGTCAGTTGTCTATGTCACTTTCACGTTGTCGGTGTTCATGTCTGGAATAGTCAATTACATGCCTGATGACAGGCGGCAACATGCTGCATCTGTTTGACATTGATTGGCTTTGAAATGGAAAAGCTGTGGTCATAATGTGGGTCACCATGTTCATAAAAAGCGATGGGTTTTTTCGATTTAAAAATGCCATTATGTTCAAAATTACTTAAATTGAATTTAATAGGAGTTTTATTTATATTCGTATTTGTTGGATTTAAGTTGAAGACACATTTTTAATCCAGTTTTAATGACTACCTTGTGACATTCTACGAGCAATTTGAATAATAACAAATCAATTTACTTATTTTCACAAATTTCATTATTTGACTTATTAGTCTAATAATCAAGAATCCTTGAGTTTATTTGTACAAATTATCACATTGATTTAAGTCTTTTATCGAGCCCAATTTATTTGCAATTAATTTAATACACAATTGCCAATAAAATCTAAGACCTCGTTAATTTAAAAAATTAATTCCCAGACGATTATCGCCAACTTGATCTCGTTATGAGCCATAAAAATTGAAATTAAATCATGACACATTATTGCAAATCCAAAACCCGCCAAGTTGAGAGAGGAAGGCAGTGACATTGAAAGCGAAGGATGGCGACGCAGGATACTTTGCTAGGATGCTAGCCTCCCGGGCAACATTAGCTGAAATTTATGTGCTTGACACACACCCACAGACCTTAACACACACTCACACAGAGAGAAACTTGGCCACACAAACTCGCAAGGCCCTAAGCTTGTTTTTTGGCCAAAAAGGAGCAGACAATATGCTGCATAGCTATGGGGGCTGAATGTATGTTCCCTGTCTTTGGCACTTTGGCAGCTCTCATTTTATCGCTGTCGCTGTAAATTATGTGGCTATGTGGCTCATAATGCTAGAAACAAGACCAACACAGCCCCATGAAAATGCCACCTGCCAGGGTCGAATGTGGGAAATCACCCAAATAGCTTTGTGTGTGGGTGACTGCGAAATGTGTCACTTGGCGTCAATTTAGTTCCTCCCATTCCAGATGCTCATCATACCGCCCGCTGTCCTTTTTGCGAAATGAAGTCCTTGAATGGGTCGGGCTCCGTGTGGAGGTGAAATAAGTGTGTCACTTTAGGGACCAGGATTAAGTTTCGTATTTGCAGACACACACTGTCCGCTGGCTAATTAGCTAATCAGATTGTGCGGCAACTTTCCAACGAAAATGGGTTTCTCGTTTTCACAGCAGCATTGTAATGAAAAAACATGGTCACCACAGTGCTCACTTAATTTTCATTCCAAATGAAATAGGTTTTCTTTGATTTAATTACTTAACCAATTTCTATCAATTAAACCGCTGGACAGCCTTGACTTTCTATAATCTAAGCCCGGCTTGTCCTATCAGGCAAATTAAATCATTTCATCGGAGAAAATTTTACCCCTCACGGCATGCAAATTAAATTGCGTGCACGTAAATTTAATTACGTAAAACTTGCCATACAATTTGTTTACTCGTTCAAAACAAACTTTAAAACTTGCCGCCGAGTTGTCAATGCGGTTCCCCGGCCTCCTGGTCACTTGCAGGCACAAACTTTGTCCGCTGCAGGGAAAACTTCTTAAAAGCGTAACAAAAAAGAAATCACTAAGTGCGCACTCCACAAGCTTCAAACAGAAACGAAAAACAATTTTGCGGCTAATTAGTCGCAGAGCAAATAATTAATTAAATTTGTGTAGCTGTGCTGCAGTGGGTAGAAAGGACTTAAATTTGTTTATCCATTGATTTTTCACTGTCGCCTGCAAATTGGGATTATTTGCTTCTCTTCGATGGCGTGCCAATGGCCCATTTAAATTTAGAAGCCCAAAATCAGTTCTCAAAAATGTCAACTCGCAAAATTTGTTAACTCTTTTTTTTTCTTAGCCAGCAATTAAGACAAATTAGTCGTCCGTCGGCTGACGGAAATGTCAAGCTCAATGGGAATAGCAGGCATTTGGGAGTGGGGGAAAAAGGAAACAACTACAAGACCGCCGACCTTCGACGTTCGCTTTCTTCAACTTTGGCTGTTGCATCGCGTGCCGTTTCCGTGCCTTCTTGGGGATTTATTTTTACCATATTTGCGTTGCCTGCTGTCTAAACTTTGACATATTCAGTCCGTTTTTATGCCCCCCTCGTGCTACCCTCTATAATAGTCAACACCAGCGGATTTCAATGCTGCCAATCAATTAGATTTCTGCCTATACACACACTGCAAAAAAGCAGGCCCGAACAACAGGTTTTCCTTTGGGCATATACACATGTGTGTATAATGGGTGCCAGGGGGCGTGAAATGCATTTTCCTGCGCCTGCCAGTAGGCCACACAACATTCAACATTTAAATTGAAATTGATGGCCGAGCGGCGTCTGCGGTCTGTTGCTGTTGTTGCCGCAGTTGATTTCGATTGTGTCTGCCTCCGTCGGTTGTATGCGCTTTTGTGGCATGGAAATTAAATAGATATTTATATTGTTTACTAGAAAATATGCGGGTATAGCCACGGTTCTATGTTTAAAGAAAATATATGATACTAAGGAAACTACCCTATCCTCACACTCATTATTAAATTAATTTGATAAAGTCGTAAAAAGAATTATGAAAACCACTTGAGAGCATTTATGGGAGGATTTATGGGCTTATAAAATGGCAAACCAAACTCATTTGATACCCAACACACACATCGGCCAATAAAACTTAACTGGAAGACAATGAAAAACATGCGGAAAACGCACATATGTCGGGTTCAGAGGCAAAAGTGAAGACCAACTTCTCATATCGCAATGCGTGCTAGGTACTTGGAACATGGAAATTAATAATAGCCAAATTTTATGGCCACCAATCACGCAACGAAAGTTGGCGAGCAATAATTGGCAGAATGTTAATAGAAATGCGAGTTATACGCGCATTTAATTGAAGACAGTAAAAGCCAACTTCACTTTTTTCCTGAGACTAGAGAAAACAAAACTTCAATTCGACTGCATTGACGTCAGAAAGAGACATAATTCCTTATGTTTATAACTTACCTCATCAGCTCGAAGGTAATGCACAAATGCTTGCGGAAATATGTGTAGTCGAGCATGTGTATGACATTGTGAGATCCATCCGCATCCTTTTCGCGCAGCTCATCGAGGATATTGAGTTCGACGACGGCCTGGTTGAGGAAGCGCTTCTTGTTCCTTATGATCTTGATGGCTACGTGTGAGTTGGTCTTGTGATCCAGCGCTCTGATGACCTGGCCAAAACTGCCTTTGCCAATCACCTCCAGAATCTCATAACGGAAGGCTATGTGATCGTGTTCGATCTGTTAAATGAAGATTATACTTATTGACTTTGCTATCAAATCATATGCCTACACTTCACTTACGATCTTGTAGTTGCCATTATCATCGTCATAGCCCAGATTGGTGGTGTTGGCTGTGGGGGCGGGTTTGTTGTAGTTCTTGCTGGCGTGCTGGCCAAAATACCAGACCTCCTTGTACACCTTGAGCTCCTCGAACTCCAGATCGGTTAGGTAGTTGCGGAACTTCTTCACCAGCTCTGTTAAAAAAGGTTAATAAATGATTTAGTCAATACTTTTTTTATAAACCAAAATACCTTTTTGGGGTAAAGTTTTTACTTTTTCGCTATTTGCATCCCTAGCTGAAATTTAATTTCCGTCATGGCTAAAAGCTTTTTCGTGCTTACTTCACTCTACTAAAGCAACTTGTACCTTTTTTTCACTTTGTAACCACTTGAACAGGTATAATTGAGAATTTTCCCATGTGGCAACTGCCACTCTAAAACCCTATTGACCCTGACCTCAATGCCATTTCACTTTTATTTCTAAAATGTATATAAAATTAATTAGAGAGCCGGCGAATGATGGAGTGTGGCTACCAAATGCCTGAAGGGCATGCTCAACTAATTGGCATTGGGCTGCAGCGATGCAAACCGGCAAACGTACAAAGCTTCGCTAGGCTCTGGTCCCAAAAAAGGGCAGCCTCTTTTTTAAAACACTGGAATGTGAATTTAGTAACAAATCATATTATATTTTCGAATTTTAGTTTGTATTTTCAGAATAAAACTAAAATAAATCATTTTTTATGGACATTTGAAGTGAGCTATTTTTTAGTGAAACAGTAAACCAGTAAGAAATAAAATTTTCAAAATCGAAAACAAAAAAAAAAAATTTAAGTTGATGACTAACCTATTCAATCATTTTAAATAAAAAAGAAATCATCAAATGTCATTGAGTAATGCTTCAACAAGAGAAGTAAAATTCTATTTAAATGAATATAATTTATATATAAAGAAAATCAAAGCTTAGAGAGAAAAAATAATCAGCCAAGACTTTGCAGTTTCTTTTCTCTGGTCTCGCTATACACAAATTAAAGTGAAAATGGGAAAAGCTTTCCCAGCCAGGAATACAGGGTTAAAGGATGGGGATGTGCTTACCAGATGGCGTCATGGGAGTGTTGCATTTGAGCTCGGCACTTCCTGTGCTGCTGGCCGAGTTGCCCGAGCTGCCGCTGCCATTGCTGCTGTTTGATTTTGTGGACGAGCCGCGCTCGTTGACGCCATTACTGCTGTTGGTTGTCGAGGAAGAGACGGGTGATCCTATGTTATTGTTGTTGTTGTTGATGCCGTTGTTGTTGCTGTTGCCATTGCCATTCAGAGATGTGGTTGTAACCGTGGACTCGTTGACTGCCACATGGTTGTTGTGCCCATCCAGGCGTCGCGAGCCATTGCAGAGCTGTGGCAAATCCAGTCGAGAGCCCGTCAATCGAACATCCCGTCGCAGCTTCTCGTTGTCCAGCTGGATCTGCATGGAAAACACATAATCATTAGTCAATTTTCAATGAGGGATCGCATCGTATAGCATACTCCCGGGCAGTTAATGAGCTCCGAATGTAGCACTTCGTAGCCCGTGACTCTGTGCCGCAAAAATAAGCCTACTTTTCGGCTAAAGTCTTTACTTGTAATACGTTTGCGTATCTTCTTCCATTTCATTATTGTTTATTCTTCGTTGAAGTTCTACTTTCTCTTTTCCTCGTTCTTAGAATATTTTATTTGTAAAAATATATTCTTGTCACAAAATTCAATAAAAAAGAGTGTATGTGATTTGAAATTGTCAAAAATATATTATTTTATTTTAATATGCACAATTTGATTGCTTTTGGTTCTTAAACTTTAATTTTAATAACTGTATGTAATAGTCAACAATTTTTAAAGGCTAAAATTCGTAATACAATGGTTTCTGGCAAAACATTCAAACTAAATTCTGATGCTGAATGCTTTACAAACAAACTCGCTAATCTTAATTTACAAATCTCTGTTTACAATTTGTTTACTTCCTCCATATTATCAAGACAATCTACTTACCGGCATTTCGCATCGATCCAACATTGTGCCGACTTCGCTGTGTTGTCGATTTTATCCAAAAGAGAAACGTATCCACAAAGAATTGTTGCCCGGTGCCTGTGTGTTGTCACCCTGAGCCCGGTGTTTAACTGGCTGAGTTGTATCTCCTCTTCCGGCAAACAATTATTGATAACTTTCGTGGTAATATGTCTTTGGGGCGCACATTTGCATTTGTTTTGGTTGTTGGGGCCAACTGTAAAGAGGTTGAAAAAGAGGGAAAAAGTCCATGAGAAATACAATGCCAAAACAATGGACGACGCAAGTCTTTAAGCCCTTGACTTTTAACCCTTTTTCCGGTAACGAAACGCCAACGAAAAGAGAATTCAACGAAATATAGTAATAATAATATAATATAGGAATCAGCGGGCGATGCGCATTCCAAGTGCACACCATAAATAAAACGATAAATGGTAAACAGCAACGCCCCCGAACTATCAATGACATGGCAGGGCATAGGCCATAACTAACTCAAAAAGCTGGCAACAAGAACGCCAGTCCGTCAACGGCAGTAAGCAGTTAGCAGTTAGCAGTTTTCATTGTCAAGGCGGTCGACGACAAGCGGTCTCATCAAAAGTCCCGAAAACTTTATTCATATTTTCTCCACAAGGGTCGTAAAGAACCAGTCGTAGACCCCCGAAAAACCCAACCCAACCCACTCCATAGATCCCATTCCCCCCAAAAATGAAAACGGCCGGTTTGGCTGACAGGCATAAAAACTCGGAAACCAAAGTCATGGCCAATTATTGGCCTTTTTCTCTTCCGCCATGTTTTTTGGGCTCGTTGTGCATTTGACAGTTTGAACGTTCGTAAGCGATCCCAAAACTCGAACTCGCACTCAATATGCATAATAATCCTAACCCTTTTTTCGAAAGACCAAAGCCACCCTTCTGCATGGCTAAGTGCAACGGGAAGTTTGGTTTGTTTGGTAAGTTTCCTTGTGAATGGAGGCATAATGAAAGCAGTTATTCGGAAGTGCACTGTAATGAAATTATAAAAGTTTGTGGTGGATTTTAATACGCCTTTTTAAAACCCTCATGTTTCTCATTAATTATAAAACAATTGAATGTGGAAATAGATAAATAAATTAAATATCTCTGAAGACATATAATTCTTTACCCTACTTAATATCCTAAGAACTTCTCTCACTGCATATTTAATGTGGCTCCAAAAGTTCCGAGATACCCCTGAAAGTGGTAACCACTTGACTAGTTCCTATTTTACTTAACCATTTTCTCTCCCATTTTTATTTTCCTTTTAGCTGTCTCTATATCTTTTGCGGTTTGGCATGCTCAGTTAAATTTATTGGCTTTAAAAACTTTTCTGTCATAAAATCATAATTTACAGCATTCGTTTTCTTCATCAGACTGTCAGTTACTGTGGGTTTGGAAGGAGTCTAACGGTGGGGGTTGAGTTCGAGGCTTTCCTATATATCAAAAGGTATTTCGGTGTTGTCTGCTTGTTAAGTCGTTAGCTCTACTTGTTTCTTTTCCCTACTTTTGCCGAAGTTGGATGAAGTTACTCGGTTTGCCCACCAAACGGCTTACTCAGTCATTCAGGCTGTCTGTCATTAAATGCACTTTTTGGGTTTGCCATTTTCCGACTGTTTTGAGTTAAGCCATTTGTGCAGAAAGCCAAGAGCGACTTGAAGACCAAAAGTCAGGACCAGTTTCACATGGTGTGTCTGTCCGCAGTCTGATAAGCGAAAGTTTTTTGAACCCACCTTCGACCTAAGCTCTTGGCAAGGTTGAACAATTATGACTAAATTTAGACCGTTCAAAAGGTGTCACACCGCTGACGGTCATAAGTCCGCATTGTTCTCCCAGATTTAAATGACAAATCAATTGAAACTGTATGGATACGATTGCGGACTGGCGACTGCCGTCAATTGTAAGTAACTTCAACAATTACACGCCTCAGCAATCGAACCATTTATCGACGTTTTATGAAGCCGTTTTTGCTTTTGCATTGATTCCAATTGAGAAACGTCAAGATCATTGGGGATCGTTTGTCATTGCTTTGACACCCACCCGATGTCTGCAATTTCTATTAATGACACTGAATTTTAAATGTCAGACTGAATGTTTGATTTTTGGCTCAAGTATACGAAGATGTCTTTTGACAAGATCTGTTTGGGTTGATTTGGCATTGAGGTTTTGCATTGAACAAGTCAAATCAAACTTCAAATTGAGAAACTTAAACAGAAACAGAAACCTCCAAAACGACAGATCGATATCAGATCGCATTTCAAACCGAAGTGGTCAATTCAAAGCGATACCACACTGATTTATATCCCCTGTCTTAGTCATCTTAATCCTATTGCGGAATTATGTCCGAGTCCAAGCGAAAGTTGACCCCCAATGAACCTCCTTGATGAAAAACCCGCTTTAATTTGGTAAGCACCCATTTTATTTCTCCCCATTGCATAATCCACTTAGTGTCCGCTCAACTAATTTCGCCTTTGATGATGATGCTGCTGCTCCGCTGACCCAAAGCATTAAAACAAAATATTAAGCCATTAAATTGAAATTTCTACGCCAAGTGTCGGCAGACACCAGAAAAAAAAGAAGAAAATTGGCCACTCAAAGTAATTGAGTTGCACTAAGTTAACATTTCGTTGCCTGTCTCCAAAATTAACAATCTCAAAACAACAATAATGAAAAAAGGGGAGAGAAGATGGCACGGCAACTTTGGTGGCAATAAAAATGTCAAGAAATTTATGTGAATAATTTGTCAATTTATTACCGAGACTTATTTTGACAAGTGCGGGAAAATCATTTCAATCTAAAAAGCCGAAAAAAAGTATCCGAAACTGTGGATGCACTCACTCAGTGCATTTTGTTTTTGGGCAAACCAACTTCCCAGACTGCTGAGGTTTTTATCTTTACTTTTTATGTTTAATAAATGTCAATTGCTCACAGAGGCGGAGAATTTGTTAGTGCTCCTCTGTTCGTCAGCCAGGCAAACATTGAGGAGGAGAAAAATAAATAAAAACAAAACAACAAAACGTGACATTTGGTTGTTGACTTTTGACACTTGCAATCATTTTGGGCAGACCCGAAGCGAGATTTATATGCAAACTCGACAGATCTTCATGTAATGTAAGTTCTTCTTTTTCGCTATATTTTGTTGCAAAGTTTTCTTTTATTTTTCGCATTGGAAAAACCTTCGATGGCAGCTGCAAAATGTCAGACATTGTTAAAGGAGTGCTGCCATTTGTAAACTTTGTGTGGAACAGTGTCAACCAGAGGATGCCACCGGATTTGGTCTTCCCCAGCGAAATGCCAGCAGGAATTCTAGCACTCTCGGCTTTGGAATCTCGATGGCCTCAACGTGTCAATAAGCTGTCTAAAATTGTGTTGGCCAACTCGCCCCATTGTCTGATTTGATTTATTGAAATGTTTTCTTTTGATTATTTGACGCCTCAAGTGCCGCCTGCCAAAAGTCCGTATCAATGTGCATACAAAACAGAAATTTTACATTAAAAATATTTTTTACAATTATTTTACGATTGCGAACGGAACATGTCCGAAGTACCTTAATGAGTCTTGAAGACATCACGTCTAGGGTTTTTATTTTATAGTCTTACAACCGGCACATGCATGAAATCGAAAACGGCTGAATCTATTGTTCAATCAGATTTTATTGATTTGTCTGTGGCCCAAAAATGCCAAACAATTTTTGACACTTTGAAGTTTTGGGGGTAAAAAACACATTAAGGGGCTTTGATCTTTGGGTTTCACGGAATGGGCTTGGAGATTCTAAAAACAGATGCAAGAAATAAGGTGAATATTCAAACTGCTGTAAACATTAAACAGTCTTTAATAAGCTATTGTATAAAATAGGAATCAGAAATTTTGAAGTCCATTAAAGACCATCGAATAAATAAATATCAAATGCATATATTGTTAAAATAAGTATTACCCAATCATCCATAGTTCCAATTGAAAATTAGTTGATATTAAGGTTTTTAAGATTATGACTTGTTGCTCACTTTTTTTCTCGTTAAAATGAGCACTCATTAATATTGGTAAAAAAAAAACACCTTTGTTTTTTCAGATGCCTATTATTAACCTTTAATACTTTTGGTTATAAAAAGTTTAAACTCTTTCGAACTTTTTATAGCCATAATTAACATCCTAATAATTTTTGCAAACCCAATTTAATATTACAACCGGTAGTCTGCATAAATGCACCAAAAGGGCATGCATGTCTAGTTTTCGCATGCCCATCATAATGTGCAACAATTTTATATACATTTTTTATAGCTCTTCGCCAGACATGCATGTTAGGCTCAAATTTTTCAGGAAATTCACAATGGTTTACATGGAGCCACTTCGATTCGGTTGGATATTTGGCACACGTGACCCAAATGGGCGTTACTCTATTTAATTATGTGGCACACCAAGAAACGAGAAAATAAAGCATCATTTGTCAACCGGCAAAATTTCGGTTAACTATTACCTCGCGTGGCCCAGAAAAGAGCCAGCCCACGAAAATAGAAAATAAATAAATGCAAAAAGAGCGCCAGCCCAGCCAGGCGACATGCTATAAACATTTTTGTTCATTTAATTTCGCGCAGACATGAAACATAAGTGAAATTCATTTAGTTTTCATTATTACGCTTATTTTCGTACGCCGAAAGCAGGCCACAAATTGCATGCCACCTAATTTGGTTAGGGCACCGAAATGCCTTTTCAACCGGGCATTAACCAGCCAACTATCCGTGGCACAGGCCCCCTAAATGTGACCTCATAAACCATTGACCCACTAACCCCAACCCTAAGTAATGACCCCAGGGCGCAGAATGTCAACAAATCCATATAGATTTCAGCTGGAGGGAGTCCGAATGGAGAGCGGAAGTGGGAAACGATTCCACTCGGTTGGTCGGTTGGTGTGCTGGGGTCACCAGAGGGGAACCACTCGGTGGTCAGTGCTACAGTTGGCATAGGTCGATGATGGTTAGGATATGATACTCTATATAATAACACTAAAAAATCTAGAAACTGTAAATTTATGTTTACCATACTGACATTATGTCAAACAAATTGTGAATTAATCAGAAATACTTAATTTGTTTCATACCATATTGCTGCTTTGATGTGATGTATAACAACATCATTATAATTATAACATTAATCAAAATTGGGATACAGTTTTTTGTTAAATTAAATTTTCAGCTAAAGTAGACAAATT